GAAATATGGCAAGGGGTAAGTTATATGTGACGGAACCTTGACAAGCAATTGACATGTCAAATGCCGGTAGGAGCACTAGTTGCATAGGTAACCATTTCAATGTTAAACACATCGTCATTGTCAGATTTTTACAACGTCATGTTGACACAGGAACTGTAAATGATAGACCAAGGTCCGGAAGACCCCGTTTAACTATCGATCGTGATGACAGACTCCCTATTGGTTGTGCTAAAGCCACCCATTTACTCCTGCCCCACAACTTAGACACCACTGGCGTCAAGGTGGTCATGTTAGTGTTCGAACATTGGTCCGTCGACTTCATAGAGGCTACCTAAGAGCACGTCGTGTTGTCAAGAGACCTGCCCTAACAGCCAGACACCGTATAATCAGGTTTCAAAGGGCTAATGACCATCGACGCTGGAACATTAGAAGCTGGCAAAATGTTCATTGGTCAAATGAGAGTCAGTTTCTGTTACGACCAATAGACGGCAGAATACGAGTTTGTCGTGGAAATAAAAATTCTAATGACCAAAACAACATTTGCCCAACGACTGCATACGTTGCTGGTGGTGTTACGGTATGGGGTTTCTTCTCGATCATACTGTTGTACAGTGGGTATGAATATTCTGCAGGGTAACATGAACGGACAGACATACAGGGATTTGGTGCTTAGAAACATTGTAGTCCCTCATTTTGATAATCCTTCACTTGCTTCAAGACCCTTGTGCATGTACGACAATGCTAGACCACACAGGGCAAGAATTGTAACCGAGTACAAAGAGTACAAAGAGCAAGAAGCCATTGACACTATCTTTTGGCCTTCCATGTCTCCAGACATGAACCCTATCGAACATCTCTGGGATGCCATTGGCAGAAATCTCAATCGCAGAGATCCACCTTTGCAAAATCTTAGCGATTTAAGAAGCGCAATTGTTGCTGAATTGAATAAATTTGCTCAACTAAAGTTCAGAAGGCTTGTACAGAGTATGAGACTCCGTGTTATGGAACTGTACCGGAAGAGAGGGTGTTACACATCCTATTGACTCAAATGTTGACATTAAATTTGCCGAACATACCAAAGATTATTTGTAGAGACTTTTAATGATATTGGGTGATTAATTGTTGTAAAAAAATAAAATCACAGTGAAACTTAAATTCCGTTTCTGATTTGTGTAATTTTCACTATTTCTATGAACGCAAATTTCAAATGCATAGAACCTGCATACGTGAACAAACTTACGTCTACGGTTTGTTTATGGTATATGTTAGCAAAATTGCTACATGAATATTTTCTCTTTTTCGAGAATTAACTGATTTTTTTAAATGAAAAAAATTTCGATGCAATAAAAATAGGTGGTGCTTAACTTTTGGCGGACTGTATAGATACCCTAATAATGATTGAGTCCAATTTTGGTATAATTTGACCCAGTAGTTAAAATAAAAGCAGAAGATTTTTGAAAAGATTTACAAAAATTACCAATAAATTGCAGAAAATTACTTTAAAGGACAATAACTCCAATAAGATGTCAATTGCCAATTGGTCATGTTAACTTATTTGTAGATCTTTCTTTGCTTGATATTTTTGCTGTTAACAGTATATCTCAATCTATAATGATATTCAAAATAATTAACAAAAAATAGAAAATTTCCTTTCCTCCGCTCTAAAATTTATTTCACCTAGGGCCTGTATAATGCTGAAAATGCCTTTAAATGTTTTTATGGAACACCCGCCGGGTATAAGTATTCTGAAAGAAAAGATATAATAATGATTTATAGAAAAAGTAACATTGAATAATTCTGAAAATGGAACATATCAAGGAGAAATTATTAGCCCCCCCCCCCCCCCCCCCTGAAAAAATTGCACTCCCTGGAAAAAAAAGACCAGTCATCCCATTGTAGTCTTACAATAGTTACTGAAGACCCCTAATCATTATTTAAATCAGTTTTCAAGTTGTGACCATTTGAAATTGTTTTTGTGCATTTTTCCCATAGACTTCTATAATAAACCCCTATGTTCTATTTTTACAAATGGGGACCATGTTGGTTGTAGGGCAGGGTCATCGGATACATATTTCAATCAAGATACTCTAATAATAATTGTTGCTAAGTTTAATTCCATTTTGCCAAGTAGATTAAGAGGAGAAGATTTAGGTAAAAGATTAAAAAAATTTACGAAAAAAAGTGAAAATTTGACTTTAAAGGGCAACTCCTTAAGGGGTCAATTGACAATTTTGGTCATGTTGACCTGATGAACATTTTAACCCCGTTAGACTTGCTCTAAATGCTTTATTTTCAGAGATATAATCCAAAACTGCATTTTACCTCTATGTTCAATTTTTAGCTATGGCGGCCATCTTGGTAGGTGGGCGCGGTCATCGGATACAATTTTTAAACTAGATACCCTAAGGATGATTGAGACCAAGTATGGTTTAACTTGGTCTAGTACTTTCTGGAGAAGATTTTTGTAAAAGATTACAAAAATTTACAAAAAATTGTAAAAAATTTACTCTAAAGGGCAATAACTCCTTAAGGGGTCAATTGACAATTTTGGTCATGTTGACTTATTTGTAGATCTTGTTTTGCCTGATATTTTTGCTGTTAACAGTATATCTCAATCTATAATGATATTGAAGATAATTAACAAAAAATAGAAAATTTCTTTTCCTCCGCTCCAAAATGTATTTCGCCCAGGGCCTGTATAATGCTGAAAATGCCTTTAAATGTTTTTATGGAACACCCTTCAAAACAAATTTGGACAGGCGTTCCCCTGGCCCCGACTCAACCGCCGGGTCTGGGGGGCATTTACCCAATATAAATATGCTGAAAGAAAAGATATAATAATGGTTTATAGAAAAAGTTACACTGACTGATTCTGAAATTGGAACATATCAAGGAGAAATTATTAGCACCGCCTCCCCTGAAAAAATTGCACTCCCTGGAGAAAAAAAGACCAGTCATCCCATTGTAGTCTTACAATAGTCACTGAAGACCCCTTATCTTTATTTAAATTAGTTTTCAAGTTGTGACCATTTGAAATTGGTTTTTTTTTTACATTTTTCCTATAGACTTCTAGAGTAAACCCCTAAGTTCTATTTTTACAAATGGGGACCATGGTGGTTGTAGGGCAGGGTCATCGGATACATATTTCAATCAAGGTACTCTAATAATAATTGTGGCTAAGTTTAATTCTATTTGGCCAAGTAGATTAAGAGAAGATTTTAGTAAAAGATTAAAAAAATTTACGAAAAAAAGTGAACATTTGACTGTAAAGGGCAATAACTCCTAAAGGGGTCAATTGACAATTTTGGTCACGTTGACCTGATGAACATTTTAACCCCGTTAGATTTGCTCTAAATGCTTTAGTTTCAGAGATATAATCCAAAAACTGCATTTTACCTCTATGTTCAATTTTTCGCCATGGCGGCCATCTTGGTAGGTGGGCGCGGTCATCGGATACATTTTTTAAACTAGATACCCTAAGGACGATTTAGGCCAAATATGGTTTAACTTGGCCCAGTAATTTCAGGAGAAGATTTTTGTAAAAGATTACAAAAATTTACAAAACATTGTGAAAAATTTACTTCAAAGGACAATAACTCCTTAAGGGGTCAATTGACAATTTTGGTCATGTTTGACTTATTTGTAGATCTTACTTTGCTGAACATTTTTGCTGTTTACAGCTTATCTCTATCTATAATAATATTCAAGATAATAACCAAAAACTGCAAAATTTCCTTTAAATTACCAATTTAGGGTCAGCAACCCAACAATGGGTTTGTCTGATTCGTCTGAAAATTTCAGGGCAGACATATCTTGACCTGATGAACATTTTTACTCCCGTGTCAGATTTGCTCTAAATGCTTTAGTTTCAGAGATATAAGCCAAAAACTGTATTTTACCCATATGTTCTATTTTTAGCCAAGGTGGCCATCTTGATTAGTGGGCGGAGTCATCGGATACATAATTTAAACTAGATACCCTAAGAATGATTTAGGCCAAGTTTGGTTTAATTTGGCCCAGTGGTTTCAGAGGAGAAGATTTTTGTAAAAGTTAACGACGACGACGACGACGGGCGCTAAGTGATGAAAAGAGCTCACTTGACTTTTTGGGTCAGGTGAGCTAAAAAGGAAATAATAATAAATTGTAAGCAATTAACTGATATTTTGAAAACCATAATGGAAAGAGAATTCTAACCACAATTAAAAATGCTCAAAATGTCAAGATCTAATACCAAATTTATCAGTCGGCTCCTAACAGGAGTTATATTTCCTTAAATGACTTGATAGGAGTTATTCCTTTAAATAGCGATGTATGACAATTTGATATAAAAATAAGGAAACATGGTATGATTGCCAATTGAGAATTAATCTAGGGAAAAATAAACTATATTGTAGCACAATTGTGACAGTTTGTGTGCGATAAATCGGATATTGTGAAATGTCTTGCAAATTTTGATTTCAATTATTAACTGAATTTGTTACTTTTTTTTCTAGTTTATATAGATTATGTTCGGTTTTATTTCCCGCTTGAATACAGAATGGTCTTGTCATAACCTGCACAAAAACTTATGATTGCTATTTTATAGAAGTGATTAAAAATTATCTATGAAATCATTTTCAATGAAGTTATTTTTAGCAAAGCAGAACCTCCCTAATCAAAGTAGAGGAAGTTTACTTTGACAATGCCAGACATATATGAAAGGAACTTTAGGTAAAACTTTGTTCTAAAATCAGATTTATCCAAAAGTTGACTCATTATCAAGCTTTCTAATGGAAAGAAGATTTCATGCATTGTCTGTTTCAGAGTTCAATGCTCTGTCAGGTTCGAAAAATCTGAAATTCACCATTATGTCACAAAAGTTTTATTAAAAATATCGATACTTTTTATACAGAATTTTTTCAAGTGAACAAATGATAATACAGTTACATACACTGTCTACCTGATTCCATTTTTTAATTTTTAAAACAACATAAAAATGAATAAATTATTATAATGGAAAAGAATGTGTAATGTATTTCCGTTTAACGGAAGCCATCTGATCAAGGATATATTTCAATTGTGGTTACCATAATCCCATACTCATTTCCTAAACCGAATTTTTACTTACCATTGACAACATGACGGTAGCCACTTGGGGAGCAGGATCTGTTTTTCTTATTTGTTTTGCCATGGAATTGTCACTTTCTCTTTGACTTGTGAGATTTGATTGTCCCCTTGGTATCTTCCACCTTTTTTTATTTGGACCTGGGAACAGTATATCTATATATCAATATATATGTTCCTGTTTGGACCTGGGAACAGTATATCTATATATCAATATATATGTTCCTGTTTGGACCTCGGAACAGTATATCTATATATCAATATATATGTTCCTGTTTGGACCTTGGAACAGTATATCTATATATCAATATATATGTTTCTGTTTGGACCTGGGAACAGTATATCTATATATCAATATATATGTTCCTGTTTGGACCTGGGAACAGTATATCTATATATCAATATATATGTTCCTGTTTGGACCTGGGAACAGTATATCTATATACCAATATATATGTTCCTGTTTGGACCTGGGAACAGTATATCTATATATCAATATATATGTTCCTGTTTGGACCTGGGAACAGTATATCTATATATCAATATATATGTTCCTGTTTGGACCTGGGAACAGTATATCTATATATCAATATACATGTTCCTGTTTGGACCTTGGAACAGTATATCTATATATCAATATATATGTTTCTGTTTGGACCTTGGAACAGTATATCTATATATCAATATATATGTTCCTGTTTGGACCTTGGAACAGTATATCTATATATCAATATATATGTTCCTGTTTGGATCTGGGAACAGTATATCTATATATCAATATATATGTTCCTGTTTGGACAAATGCTTTGCAACCTTTAACAAGCACGCGGTATGATTTCCAATATAAAAGTTTTAAAATATTAAAAATAGAGTATGATTCACAATTTTGACGCAGTTTATTACATTAGCCACAGACTAAGATATCATTACAACGAATTCATATTCCATTTATAGAAAATGAATAAAAAGCATCTAGGATCTTTCAATATCTTCATGATTGCTTATTGATCTGCCAAGAGTCCAAAAAGTATTCATTTAACTAGTTATATCTTCATATATTTTCAATTGTTTGACAATGTAAAAAGCATTTTATTAACATATTACGAAATTGTGATACTTTTATGTGCATGATATTATGTATGCTATAGAAATTTGCAAAATCTGGTAAATATTTCGTACCGAAATGATCTATTACAATGTTCCTGAATATTTCATTTATAAATATCCTGTAAATGAATAAATGGCTGAAATATTGACAAATATTGACATATTTGCCTTCAGTGTGATGTATACTTTTCAGGACGTAACTTGTCACAACTATCACTTGACATTGAAAATCAATTTGCATTAATATAGTCATATACCATTGAATTATTGGAAATCGCAAAAAAAAAACAAAAAAAAAAACAATTTTTGGTAAATTTTGTTGTTTCTTGTTACTTATCTTAGACCAGGTTATGTTTGCTATGCATAATTCTTTCGACGTATGCAACGTAAATAATAAAATTATACACATCAAAGAATATTTTTAAAGGATAGTGAAGGTCCTTAGAGACGCAGCACTATTTTTATCTCCGAAAATAGATGATAATAATCCATTGAAACTTAAAACTAAGGTATAAAACATTTGCGATCAAAAATCTGTTCGCATTGGAAATTTCCTCTAACATATGTCAGATACAATTTTTATGATAATCATTATATATGTATATTTACGGAAGCCGATAAGGGTCATTCGAAAAAAATAATTTATGTCGTAATTACGACATAGCATGTCGTTACAACGACATAACTATGTCGTAATTTCGACATAGCATGTCGTAATAACGACATCACTATGTCGTAATAACGACATCCTTATGTCGTTATAACGACATCGCTATATATATATAAACAAAGAGTATGTATTATGATTGCCAAGAGACTAAATGACACAGAAATTAACAACTATAGGTCATCATAATGCCTTCAATAATGAGCAAAGCCCCCGCATAGTCAGCTATAAAAGGCCCCGAAATGACAAATGTTAAACAATTTAATTCAAACGAGAAAACTAACGGCTTTATTAATGTACAAAAAATGAACAAAAAACAAATATGTAACACAGCAACTAACGACAACCACTGAATAACAGGCTCCTGATCGCTATGTCATAATTACGACAACCTTAGCGTTGTCACTTTTTGAGGCGATAGAAAATTCAAAATGGTCGTCAGTGAGGGCAAAGTTTGTAGCGTAAACAAATTCATCTTTTTTTGGAGAATAATGAACACTAAATGCAATCAAGCTTAATTAAAGTTATTTACTTGCACATACTAGAACTTTATTTTATAATCAAGTCAAATGAGACCCAGTTGAACAGGGGAGCGATTCAGGCTCCTTGGAGCCTCTAGTTATGTTTGGTATGTACAGATTCGTGTAAAATGTGACTAAATTTTCATTGCAGATTCTGAAGAAGATGAATTTTAAGCTTTTCCAAATAAAGACTATGTTAAACGTTGGACTCCTAGTGCTCAGACACATGGACCTATGTACCTTCATTTGTACACAATTGCATCTTTATGGCCTACTGATGCTTGTTTCAAATTATAACTGCATTGCTACTGTTAGTTCTTAATAAGATTCTTACAGCGTCCTCCCCATTGAAGCCTGTATTAAACCCCACCACATTCTGTATGTATGTGCCTGTCCCAAGTCAGGAGCCTGTAATTCAGTGGTTGTTGCTTATTGATGTGTTACATATTTGTTTTTCGTTTATTTTTTGTACATAAATTAGGCCGTTAGTTTTCTCGTTTGAACTGTTTTACATTTGTTATTTCGGAGCCTTTTATAGCTGACTATGTGGTATGGACTTTTCTCATTGTTGAAGGCTGTACGGTGACCTATAGTTGTTAATTTCTGTGTCATTTGGTTTCTTGTGGCAATCATACCACATCTTCTTTTTTTATATTTAATCCTCATCATATAAGGATCATCCATTCTCTAAGATTGATCCAATATGGCCTGGTAGTTCTTAAGGAAAAGATTTTCAAAGCTTTTTCCATTGGGGCCTATGTTAAACTTTGGACCCCTAATAATCGAGCCTAATGACCCTTATCGGCTCCCGTATATATTACAAGTTTTGTATATTTGAAATTAAGTAAAAAATTTAGTGTTGCTTTTTATAAGTCTGTCAGTATATCATAAAGTCAGGGATGTCGCTAAAACAAATTCACGAAAACCTTACTAAATTCATTCAAATATTCTTATATTTGGTTTGGACATAATCGGGATTTCACATCTTAATTTTAATATTGATCTTATTAATAGAGCACATAAATTTAGATACGATCCATATAAATGTATTGATAAAAAGAAAGAGAAATTACCACGGAGGCAATCAAAAGTCAGAAGTGCAATAAAAACAGTCATTATTATGGCCAAAAAGAACAAGAAAAGCAGCAATATAAAAACATCACACAGAAAACAAAAGATTTAGCAACACGAACCCCATCAACCAGTGTGAACTCGTGGTCTCCGGAAGTGTACATTAGGGTGATAGTTTTTGTCCCCCGAGCAACGCGGTGCGGGTGACATATAAATACCAGGCGCCCGTCCGTCCCTAAGCGGTTCCACGTATACAATTCTTGCCAAATTTTAACCAAATTTATATCAATGGTTTATATCAGTAATATCTTAGAAAGTTCGAAAATTAGTGCCAAAACTATTTTTAAAGGAGTTTTGCACCTTGGAAATATAAATTACACGGAAAATTGCATTGTAAGCGCTCTCAAGCCTACATTATTTGTAGGATTGTCTTATGTTTATATCATCGATGTCTGGGTTAAGTTCGAATATTAACGCTGATCAACTATGCTAACAGGAGTTATGTCTCTTCGAAATTCTAAAGAAAATCATATTGTAAGCGCTCTCAAGTGAACAATTCTTGCCAGATATTTATGAAATTTATATCAGCAATGTCTAAGACTAGTTACAAAATCAGCGCCGCTCAAATATTTTTTAAATGAGTTCATGGGAATTACATGTATACATTATTTTGTAAATTGAAATGTATGTACTCTCACACCTACATTTCTTGTAAGATAGTATTGAAATGTACATATAAGGTTTATATGAGCAACCATTATGTTTGGGGTGAGTTCGAAAAACTGCGCTTATTAATTTACAATAGTGTCTCTTTGAAATGAAATTTATATTGAAATTAGCATTTAGAGCACTCTCACGCCTACATTTCTTGTTAATTTATAATGAAATTGATATCGACGGCTTATATCAGCAAGGTCTAGGAAGAGTGCAAAGCAACTATTTTTACAGGAGTTATGCCACTTAGAAATAGAAAATAAATAGAAAATAACATAATTAGCAACCGCTTTTAATTTTGTGTTCGTTTTTTTTTTGTTTCGTGTGTGTCGATTTGTCGAATCTAACCTTAATTGTCCAACTAATTTTTTTAGTATTTTTCATGCATATCAATTTCTCTCTTTCCCATTGATATTTCTCATACATATCAATTTCTCTCTTTCCCATTAATCTTTATCATGTATAATACTGTTACTTTAATTATTCATCCCTTATTTTATTGATTTTGCATTCACATTGTATCATAGATCAAATTTATTCGTTCAGTGTATGTTCACTTGTGTTAATATGTCTTTTGATTGAGTTAAGCCATTTCAATTGATATTTTATAGTGTGTCGTTCTATGTTGTGATGTTACACTATTGTTTCAGATAAGGTTGTGAAGGTTTGGTACCATTAAAACGTTTAAACCCGCTGCAATTGTTTGCACCTGTCCTAAGTCAGGAATCTGATGTTCAGTAGTTGTCGTTTGTTGATGTGGTTCATAAGTGTTTTTCGTTTCTCGTTTTTTATATAGATTAGACCGTTGGTTTTCCCGTTTGAATGGTTTTACACTAGTAATTTTTGGGACCCTTCATAGCTTGCTGTGCGGTGTGAGCCAAGGCTCCGTGTTGAAGACCGTACTTTGACCTATAATGGTTTACTTTTATAAATTGAGACTTGGATGGAGAGTTGTCTCATTGGCACTCATACCACATCTTTTTATATCTATATCAATTTCTCTCTTTCCCATTGATATTTCTCATAAAATTAAGAATGGAAATGGGGAATAAGTCAGAGACAACAACCCAACCAAAGAGCAGACAACAGCCGAAGGCCACCAATGGGTCTTCAACGCAGCGAGAAAATCCCGCACCCGGAGGTGGTCCTCAGCTGGCCCCTAAATAAAATTGTGTACTAGTTCAGTGAAAATGGACGTCACACTAAACTCCAAAACATATAAATGAACTAAAATTAAAAAACATACAAGACTAACAAAGGCCAGAGGCTCCTGACTTGGGACAGGCGCAAAAATACGGCGGGGTTAAACATGTTTTGTGAGATCCCAACGCTCTCCTATACCTCTAGCCAATGTAGAATAAAGAAACACATAGCAATACGCACAGTAAAATCAGTTTAAAAGAAGTCCGAGTGCGATGTCAGAATAGGTAACAAAAGAAACTAAGCAAAATGACAATGATACATAAATTAACAAAGGACTACTAGCAGTTACTGACATGCCAGCTCCAGACCTCAATTAAACTGATTGAAAGATTATGTCTTCATCATATGAAAATCAAGTACAATCCCTCACGTTAGGGGTTTAGTATCATACGATCATAAATATATGAGAAGAACATAACCCGTATCATGCCAACAACTGGTTTTAGAATAAATGTGTTTATTTCCGATGCAAAGACCCTATGAGTGAATCAATATTAATACCAAAATATGCAATATTATCAATTTCTCTCTTTCCCATTGATATTTCTCATGCATATCATTTTCTCTCTTTCCCATTGATATTTCTCATGCATATCAATTTCTCTCTTTCCCACAGATATTTCTCATGCATATCAATTTCTCTCTTTCCCACTGATATTTCTCATGCATATCATTTTCTCT